GTTCTGGGACTCCTGAAGCTTCAGATCCAAAGTCTGATGGTGAGGTGACGTCCGAAAATAAAGAGGTGCCGGTTGTTCTTGCAGGTACGAATCAAGAACCAAAGGCGACGCAGAATGGTTCTTCGGAAAACATGCAGCAGCCACAGAGTCTTGTGCCGCAACACGAGGGGCTTCAGGCACAAACGATGTCCGCGCAAATGTTGGCTGCTGAAGAGAAGGGTATATCAGTGGTGTCACTCGATTCCCGGCAACAGGTTGCCCCCGCGAAGGTAGTTGAGAGTATTCCAGCGGTGGTGAACAAGTCCAGAGGTGCCGTGCAGCAGTTGATGGAAGCTGCGAATAAATTCACGACGGCAGCGAACTCGGCGAGCGACGCAAACTCCAATGCCATGGAGGCCAAGAACAGTGCCAGCAAGGCCGTGGGCACAGCTACCGAGGCGGCTGCNGCTCATTGGGGAGGGCGACCAGATGGCTGTGAAGGCTTCGGAGTACGCTGAAGCGGTACTTGCTGTCGTAACACCTAATGCACAATCAGAGAATATCCCTGCGAAGGTGGTTGAGAATATTCCAGCGGTGGTGAACAAGGCCAGAAATGCCGTGCAGCTGTTGATGGCGATTGCGAATAAATTCACAGCGGCGGTGGACTCGTCGAGCGACGCAAACTCCAATGCCATGGAGGCCAAGAACAGTGCCAGCAAGGCCGTGGGCACAGCTACCGAGGCGGCTGCTGCAGCCAGGGAGGCGTCGAGGAAGACTGCGGAGGTGGCAGAGGTCTGCAAGGAGGCCGATGCGAACTGTGCGGATGTGGTGGCTGATGCCACGACAGCAGCTGCAAAGGCCAGCGAGGCGGCCGCCAAAGCTGAGCTTGCCGTGGGGGAGGCCAAGGAGGCTGCGGCGAAGGCGAATGATGCTGCTGTGAAGGCTCTGGCTGCAAAGGACATTGCCAAGGCTGCAGCTGAGATGGCGATGCAGGCAGCGAAGGACGTTACTGATGTGCCGGACTTCCTCAAGAAGGCGCTGGAGGATTCTAAAGAAACGAGTACTACTGAGGCCAAAGCAAAAGAGGCTTTGAAGGAAGCACAGCGCGTCAAGAAGTCAGTGGACCTCGTGAAAGGAGTCAAGGTGGAGAATGCAAAGGCGGTGACGCTTATTAATGAGGCGCAGAAGTCTTTGGCAGCAGCTGTGGAAAAGGCCACGGCAGCAGAGAAGAATGCTGGGCTGATGAGGGACCTTGCTAGAGCCGCTGTGGAGGCCGCTGAAGGTGCGTCTCAACGCACGCAGACATCCGCTGCAGCAGCGCTGAAGAGAGCTGAGGAGGAGGCGCGGCGTGTTTCCGATGGAGCGGCTGCGGTATCCGGCAAGGGAAACGGCAGCGTCATTGCTGCGTGGGTGCGTGCACCACTGCTGCTGGTGTTGTTGCTGGGGGCATTGACCCTCTGCTCTGTGTGGTGAGTGGTGTGTGCGCTGGATGGTGTTTCTCAGTTAATTGTTTGCTGCCATGGGAACTATATACTGAACTTTTATGAATGATGTGTTTTCTTTTCATTGCTGCCCCGTTGTGGGCGTAACGCCGACCCACTTGCCCTCGACGACGCGTAATGTGCACTGCACTTTAGGTAGGGAGGCGTGTTTTTTTTTTCTTTTCTTTTCTTGCTTGGGCTTTGCTTTTTACAGAAGTGTGCTTCATCCCTTAAATATCCTTTTTTACTTACATGGTTGTTCTAAGAGTCTCTCTTGCTTGTGCTGCTGCTTGGAGGTGGTCTGTGTGGTGCTGCTCTCCCCGCTGTGTGTGTGTGCACCCCTGCCGGCCAACCCCCTTGGCTGCTGCAGCCCTTTTCTTTTCTTTTCTTTGCTGCTGCCGCTCCTCCTGTGCGCTGCAGCGTGGCGTGGAGGGCCGCACCGTCTCCCGCTACACCCCGCCGACTGCACAGAGGGACGCTATCAGGCAGGAGTTCCATAACGCACAACCATCTATGCAAATTGGCGCTGCGGCTGCCGCAATGGTTCGTTTTCGTTTTTTCTTTCCTTTGGGTTGTTTGGGCTTTGTTTTCACGTGGTTCATTGGGCTATGCCACTAATGCCTTGTTTGAGTAATGTGTCGCTCTTCTATCTGGTTTCTGAGCTGTGCGGTGCGCTGCTGCTCCCATCTGCTGTGCTTGTGCATCCTTCTGTGCGTCTCTCTTCCTCCTTGCAGACCTGTGCGCCGCATTCTATATTGATGGTGACGATGGCGCGGCACCTGCTGCCCCTGCTTGCACTCGCGCTGTGCTGCACGTCCTTGTGCGCGGCGGCTGGGCCCTCGTCTTCTCCGGTGAGGGTATTCAGCAGTTCCCGTAGGACCCGGCCGCAGAAAGAGGGGAGGAGGCCGACGGTGGATGAAACCTTAAGTAAGTTCTTACTCGGCCATGGCTCGAATGTCCGCGACCTTGGCCGTCTTTCCGACAACGACCGGGCGAGGTTCCAACGCGAGAAGAAGCCCACTATAAAAGAGCTTAGTGCTGAGGAGGCCAGGTCTGTATACAGCAAGTCGTCGCTCGCTGTGTCAATGGTGGAGAAGGAAAAGAAGGGTATGGAGGAAGCAGTGAACAAGGCTACTGAGTCTAATGCAGCAGCGAAGGAAGCTCTGAATGCTTTAACAGTTGCATATACGACAGCGGCTGCATCGGTAAGGGAATTTGACAAGATTACCAGCGCAGCGAGGAGCCGGCGTAATAGCGCAGTTGTTTTGAAGAAACATGCCCAAGACGTCGTTGAGAGCATTAATAAGACACTCGTTCTGTCTGCTCTCGCCATTATCGGTTGCTCCGATGTAATAAACAAAACGAGGACATCAGCGGATGCCACAAATGCTAGAATTGAGCAGCTTACACTGACGTTGGGTAACATTAAGGAGATGAGGACCACGCTCGGTGCGGCCGACAAAAACACCGCTGACGCGGAAAAGAAAGCCGGGAACACCATCACGAGAGCAAATCGGGTTCTTGAGGCCGCTAGACGAGCAGAGAGGAGCGCAGACGCAGCGAAGGCCAAACTTGCGGAAGCAGTGGGTAATGCGGAGGAAGCAGACAAATTTATGACCACAGCAAAAGGATACATAACTACAGATCCCACCAGACATCTTTTGGGTGCTGCGCTCAACAGGGGTTGGCGACTTATGGAGACCGCCGCCAGCGAAGCTCAGGCAGCCATGATAAAAGCAGAGACTGCATTTAAAAGCGTTGTGGAATCATTAACTGAAGCTGAAGAAGCGAAGAAGCATGTTAAGGAGCTGGAGGAAATTATCAAAGCTGTGCAAGAAGCTGCCGAAGCAGAACTGAAGAAACACCCTCTGCCTCCGGAGGGGCTAGCTGTGTCCCAGACCCAGGGGGAATCACTCCAACAGTCTCAACAGGAAGAGAGTGCTCAGCAGAGCGGTTCTCAGGATAGTACTGTTTCTACTGTTGATCCAACTTCTGGTGAAGTTTCTCACCCTTCTTCTCCTGCTGTTCTTGCGCCTGCTGTTCCTGCTCCTTCTCCTGCTGCTCCTGGTGCTGCTGGTGCTG